AGTATCAAATGTTAATAAAACACGGTAATTGACATCCCCAAAGAATTAAAAACAGGTTACAAGGAGACCAAACATTTCTCCTTTCCTTAACTCTCAACTTTAGGCCAGCTACCCTTTTTGAAAATGGTACCTAGATAGTTGGCGTAGTGTTATTTATTTCTTTTTAGTAAATTGAAGTTTTTATCCTATTTTACCCTGAAACAAACATAAATTGTCTGAAAGAGAGAGACTAAGGGCGTTTTTTTCCTCTTTCTCAAAACGAAGCGGAAGTTTAAATACCGTTCCTATCAATACATTTGTCTTTCGACACAATTTTTAAGTAAAGTTATATTCATACGGTAGAGGAAATACAATATATAAAATAGAATATATATAGATATATATTTTTCAGATGACAATTGTTTAGCTTCTTTCATGCAGTTAGATTTATAAGAACTTTGTCTCTACAAGGTTTTCCTGAGCCAATCATCCAGGAACTTCAGCAGATGCAACGCGATGCAAGCAGAGTCAGAAACAGATCAGATCTATTGTAGGGGGTGAGGAAAATTGCATCAGACAAGGGCTTCAGAATATCTGACAATCCAGGATCAGGAAATTGCATGTTCTATGCCTTGTCAGAACAACTGGAAATTGTTAAAGGAATCAAAATCCCGCATGATAGATTAAGACAAACCTTGGTCCAGTACCTGAGAAGTAATCTAAAACTAGTAAGTTGATGTTATTATGTCTAACAGAGTATGACACCTGATATTCTTTTAAGTATGATAAGGTTAAGTGTGTATACAGGTCAACACCACCAGGGCCTATCCCAGTGTTCACAGCGTGAAGTGACCAGGAGTAGTGCTGCTACTCCTGCACAGAATGATGGTCTTTCTAGGAGCTCTGATAGCAGCCAGCTTGTATCCCTTGATGGGAAGAGGAACTGAAAGATTAAACTTTTTGCCACACAATGATGTTGGTTACAGTTGAATTCATTTGTTACTTAATCTGGTCTCTGAAGGAGCGGACTTTTACAGTTTTAGTCATTTGAATATTTTGGTTTAAAAAATGCCCCCCCTTAAACACGAAGGGAAGAGGTGCCTTAGGTACCTCTGGACCAGTTGTCAATCAACCGTCGTGTGATGTAGAACTCTAAGAGCCAAGTCAGCTTGAGCTATTGCTAATTGCTAATCCAAAGCAGTGAACAGCGGGTGCAAAATTGTTTTATGTTTTCATCACAATACAAGAATTTTTTAGATTTGTATTTCCTTTCTCCTATGGAAACTCTTTATTTGTGGTGGTAAATTTTAAATTGAAGTAGGTGGTTCGCACGTTACATCATTGCCACCATGCTGGTGGAAGTAAACATCTCATTAGCTCCTTTTGTTCGTCTACCAGGCACCTAAGGGACCTCTCCTTTTATAGCACGCCTTCGTGTTTAAACATCCATCAGGTAGCACTAAACAAAAGGCCAGCTATTAGCTTAAAGATGGCTCTATCCTGTTGTTTTTCTGCTGTTATTGAAGCCTTGGTGTTCTACAGTAAATTGCTAATTAAAGGTCGTCTCGAACCGCTCTGAATATGGTATGGTATGGCATGGTAACTTTATTTATACACGGTATATCCTTCGGGTACATGTACATTCAAGTAGATAAAACTAAGAACCTAACTAAACTAGGATCTAAGATAAAAAATTAAATAATTTTAGATGAAAAGAAAACACCTGCTTTTCAAGGAGGCCGTATGTAAAAATAATAAATTACTCGATGACTCGTATTCCACGCGCTGAAGTTCCAATCAACAATCACTTTAAGTTTGCTTCTTTAACTGATTTTCTTACAGCCGGATGGAACGGATCTGCTTCACTTTGTAGATGGACATCAAACGTGGACTGAATACCTAACACACATGGAACAAGATGGCACTTGGGGTGATCATCTGATTCTGTGTGCCGCAGCAAACTAGTATGAAACGTCCATTCGTGTGGTTAGCAGTCTAGCTCATAGCCATGAGGTAATAATTAGCCCACATTGTCCAGTTGACGAAAGCCAACCACTTGTGCTGGGACATATTCATGAGGTGCACTACGTCAGCCTTCTACCGTCTCACGGTACAGCTCATTACATTACAGTTAGTAATTGTAGTCTTAGTTTCATATCAGTGTATTTCGTTTAATGTGTTACTTAGAATCATAAATCTCCCTCACAACTCCGAGTCATGACAGTTAATTCAGGCTTTAACTTGAAGGCTTTTCTCCATTTTCCTATCCATTGTCTTTGTTTGCTCATTAAACATACGAGATGACGCTGGTGGTTTTCATGAATTTCTTTGCAGTGCTAACTAACGCTTAATCGCCCAGTTAGTAGAATCAAACGACATTTGATGCAGGTCAACCTCGTTCCCAGACTCTCATCTTCCTGCCCCCTGGAGCGAGAGAAGAGAGACCCTGGTTTGGGCTGGTCACGTGTTTACAGAGCAAAATATTCCTTAGGGACGAGTCGTTTGTTTGCTCGATATTTGTCTCATTTCCTTTGTCATCTTCAAATCGACGCTATCGTTGTTCAGGTCGCCATGTTTTGTAGCAGCCTTCAAGTCGCTATATCTCGAAGTAGGTATTTTAAACTTAATTTAAAACCCAAACAAGTCCAGTGTTTAGAAGCGATATATTTGGGCAGATATGTTGTGGCCGTTTTACCAACGGGATACGGTAAATCGTTGATTTTTCATCTTCTTCACTCTTCTTCGAGAAGTTAAACAGTCAACGACCTGTACCTTCCTTGTCATTTCGTCCTGTTGTTATCGTTGTTTTGCCTTTGAACGCCCATATTAAATATCAAATAAGAAGGAGCACCGGCAGCCGTAGGTTTATATGTGATTAAAATGAATACTGACACGTCAGATTATGTAAAAAAAGGAAAGCGAACAAATACGCGTAATCGCATGCGCGTAGATGTCCTCAGCAATGCGCGATGTCCTTTTGCATAAATACTCTTCGAGCGAAGAGTATTTATGCAAAAGGGAATGTAGGGCAACGTTCACTGATCTTTCTGGACGTCTGCTGAATATTCTCAATTGACATCATTCGGTTCGAAGCGCTTCACGTGTGGTTTGATTTGATTGCCGACAATCTACGCTCGCCAGTGGACTAAGTGGAGAGATTTTGCCACTTATCTGCCCCTCCCTCAGACCGCTAATTTTTAATTTCCTAAAATCTCAGAGAGACGTGACCAGCCTAAACCAGGGTATCTCTTCCCTCGCTCCAGTGGGGGGGAGGGGGGGAGATGAGAGACCCTGG